TTTAAAAGACAAAGAAAAGCCAGGCGAGCTTGCTCTGGCTTTGTGCTGGTGACTCCTAAGCCGCTAAGCAGTCCCACAATAGAGCAACAGCACCCCGCTGTGGCCACAGCAAGGAGAAATAAAGTTCTGCTTGAGAAGGATATCATGCTTGGTAAAGTGGAGGGTCAACGTAAAAGAGGAAGACCCTCAATGAGATGGATTGACACAGTGGCTACAGCAATGGGCTCAGGTATAGCAAGGATTGTGAGGCTGGTGCAGGACCAGGCAGTGTTTCGTTCTGTTGTACATATGGTCACTGTGAGTCAGAGCTGACTCGACAGCACCTAACAACAACAACCCAGAAACAGTGGCTGCTCCAGAAAGGCCCAGAGCTAAGTCCAGTGCTGGGGGGAGAGGCAGGGTACAGAGCTGTGAAACCAGGGCTGCTGCGTATGCAGAGGAGCAGAGGGCAGGAGATGAAGAAATACACATGTAAAACATAAGCTGCTTGCAAAGAACAGAATGTTCCTCACCAAGGGGCAGTTGGGCTGGACAACAGGAAACCCAAAGCAAGAGAGTCAGCAGGCCTACCTGGGTGTCCCCAGAGAGGCTTCCAGACATGACTCTACCACACACAAGACTCTGAACAAGTCCCTGCTCAATGCTGTCCTTGATGTTCTCATCTGTGAAAGGGGCATCATCCTAGTCCCTTCCCACTCCTATTGCTGAAAGATCAGAATGCAGGCCAGCAGCACAGAGGTGGGGTCTAATCTTGGCTCTGCCATCTGTGGGCTGTAGGTCTGTGGAGGAGTTACTTGACCTCCCAAACCCTCAGTTTCCTCACACACAAAAATAAAGATGATGCCAATATCCACTGCCTACAGTACCATTTCCCAAGCTGGACCCATAATGGATTGTGAAGGCATTTAAAAATGAAATAGAAAAAAATATATCAGAGTACAACACACTTAGTAAGGCTTAGTAAGAGTCAAAGCTTTTGTTTCAGTTCACATTTCTCTCACCTGATTCAATGCCCACTAACAAATATATGAGTTCTGATGGTGCTACGGTAAGGCATTTGGTTGCTAATCAAAAGGTTAGCAGTTCAAACCCACCAGCTGCTCCACAGAAGAAATATGAAGCAGTCTGCTTCTGTAAAGATTTACAGCCTTGGAAACCCTATGGGAGTCACTATGAGTCAGAATTGACTTGATGGCAGTGGGTTTGGTTTTGGTTTGTATATACATACATATGTATGTATGTTATATGTATTTGTTTATGCACTTGAGTGTACTGGGTCATGATATAAAATATAATTTTCTGTGGGTCATAACAAAAAAGTTTAAAAAATACCATCTTAAAAGATAAAACGAGATAATGAAAGCAAAATGCTAACTTAGGTCCTAGCATTTAATAAGCTCTTGTGAGCAGTGTGAGCAGTGAATTACTTGGTATGGCTTTTCTAGCCATGGTCTTTGAAAGTTCCACCAGATTACTGGGTGGGACTATGCAAATAAGGTGTATGGAACTCTAATGTGAGAATTGGTTAGTTTTGCTTTGCTACTGGGCTTAAAATGAGCCCTCCTACGTAGAAGAGGGGATCTCACTGCCATCAAGAGAGAAGAGCTGGAGATGGAATGGAGGAGGTGAATGTAGTGTGTCTTTGGACCTGAGATCACTGTGCTGCACCTGTTTGGCAGAAAGATGGCCAACAGAGATGGCTGGCACAGGTGACCAAAAGGCACGAGACAGAGCAACGGGCTTCCCGGCCCAAGGAGTGAGAAAGCTGAGTCCCCCTGGGCATGAGGTTTGCTGGTGTAGTGGGGTGCACCTAGATGCCTGTACTGACAGAGCTAAAAGAGCTTTTTAACACTTGCCCTAGCGGGGCAGAGGCCAGATGAGAGGCCAAGGGTGAGAGGTATGCCTGAGGGCATAGCAGATGGTAGACTGTTCCAACTGAAAAATTATATCCTGAGAGAGTTCCTGAACCTGGGTTGTAGCCTGTTACTTCCCTAATTTTGTTGTTGTTGTTGTTATGTGCCGTCGAGTCGGCCCCGACTCATAGCGACCCCTCCTTGGGTTTCCGAGGCAGTATCACTACGGAAGTAGGAATACCCAACCTTCCTTCTGAGGAGTGGCTGGTGGGTTTGAACCGCCAGCCTTCTGGTTAGCAGTCAAGTGCTTTAGTCACTATGCTACCAGAGCTCCTTACTTCCCTAATAAACCCCATACTCATGAGTATGGTGACTTCTGCATGGCCACTGCAATGAATTGCCGAACACAGCAGAGAAGTAGTGAGTGGGAGGGACCATTAGTTCAGAATTGGTAAAGAAGCTAGAGGGTGGTGGCATGTCTGGCCTCATAGGAATAAGCCTTGGGTTGCTGATAGTGATTGTGTCTCTCCCTTGGGAAGTTAAGAGTTCAGACAATGCTGCCTCCATGTCGTTTTTGTAGCTCTCAAAAAATATTAACTGTTATTATTGATGGAGGTGACAGCATTGACTGATATTTTTATTATCACATTGGCCATTAGAAGAAAAACTGGATAGAGAGGACCCTAAGCCTTTGATGTTCCTCTGTACATGCTGTGCTGACTCTGTATGGGGTCCAGGAATAGGTCCCTGGAGAACAGAGCTGTGGGCAGTATGTGTCTGAGGGGAGCTGGGGAGCAGGAGTCCCTGGCCAGCTGACATTCCTTGATGATCTGCTACTGGAGTAAGAAAGAAATTCAAGGCAGTACTTGCTAACGTCAAAGAGCATTTTCCTATCCAAAAAAGGAACCGCTTTGCTGAGCATGTCCTTCAGCCACAGGCTGGCACAAACCACCACAGCCCATCTCAGTTTGGCACTACGTGTGGTTACTCAGAACAACAGAGAGCGTGAGTTCAAACAAAGCCTTATCCTTACCAAAATAAAGCCTGAAACAGGCCTGCAGGGTTAAGCAAGGCTGATAAAGCACGGCTATTACAAGCTTGTCCTGGCCTCTCCAGGGCAGGCTTTCTCCCCACATAACTCATCATCCGGCTGCCCCTCCCACAGGGCCAGTTACCCCATCCAAGACAAAGGCAGGTATGCTGAGCTGGGAGGGCCTGTATCTACACAAAGCACATGCCAAAGGTCTACAGACTCCTCCCACTGGCTCCTGCCCCTGTCCCTGCTGACTTCCTAGATGAGGTTTTGAGGTACCCTTAGGCCCTAATTGTGAATATGAATCCTCATCCCTCCATGCATGTCTCTCACAGACAGCTGGGCCTGCCCCACATCTCCACTCGCCAGTGTATGCACCAACTCTCTCCCACACGTTCCACCAGGACAGCAGGGCAATGCTTCCTGAAGCCTCAGGATTGTATCTTTCAAGTTGACTTCAGCTTAACGTACCCATTGCCTGATTCTTAACCAGCTCCAATTCCTTTCTGTAAAAAGTCCTGTAACAGAGGCTTCATTCACCTGTTGACTTAACATTTCAATAAATCTCTAAGGTATACTAATGACAGAATATCTCTGATCTAGGGTCTGATCCTATAGAGGCAGTGGGATAAAAGGAATGTGGCTTTAATCAAAGCTAACTGCTAATATTTACAAAGCATTGTCAGTATGCTTTATGTATGGTAACTCCTTTAGTCCTCACAAGAGCCCTAAGAAGCAGGTACTGTTGTTACTTATTTTCACTGAAGAAAGGTGAAGAAGAAAGCAACACATTGCAGGGACACAGACTAGTAAAGGGCAGAGCCAGGATTTCCACCTAGGCAGCCTGACTCCACAGAACATTATCTTAAAACTGTTTCAACCCCAGTTCCAGTGCTTACCAGCTGTCTAACCTCAGGGAGGTACTTGGCCCTCATAGACCACAGTTTCTTCAATCTGTAAAATGAAATAGCAGTAGTTCCTAGCAAAGTATCAATGAGATACAGTACTTGAGGAGCAGAATACCATGGCCAGCACACAGTACTCAAAACACATTAGTTCCCACCTTGCTTCTTGCAAATTTGGACCAAGAAGAAAAAGTAAGGGCCCTCGCAGTGGCTGAGTCTGTCTGTCTTTCCCTCAGGGAAGTTATCTCCTTCTAGGTGGGAGTGCCTGCCCACACATCTCACCCTGTGCCCACTGAAGGGGCCTTGGGGCAGATGTGTGGTTCTCATCTGGCCTGTGCCCCTCCTCCCAGCCTAGCACAGGGTTGATGACATAGTGGGGCCTCAGGATTGGCTGAAGACAGTCAGAGGGCCAGAGGGACCACTGAGACCATAGCTGGCCCACTTCTTCTCTGATCAATGTGTGTGCATGTTTGTGTGTGAAAGGACTCAGTCCACTGGCCAGGGTCCCCAGGGCTCACTCTACCTCCCTGCATTATATACACAGATGACACCTTGTGGGACCCATGATCCCTCCACCCATATGATTCACAGGAGTCCTACCCCTGCTTTATGGTAAGGATGCCCTAGGAGGCACAAATGGTTAAGCGCTTGGCTACTAATTGAAAGGCTAGAGGTTCGAGTCTACCCTGAGGTGCCTAGTAAGAACGTCCTGGTGATCTCCTTTGGAAAGATCACAGCCACTGAAAACACTATGAAGGACAGTTCTACTCTGACATACATACTTTTGGCCTCCAGATGTTGGAAACGACCCCATGACAACTGGTTTGATTTTAGTTTTGATTTTACAGATAGAGGAACAAGACTCTGAAAACCCAAGTCACACAGCTGTTAGGGAAGAGGTGGAAGGATCCAGGCCTCCCACTGCCGGCTGGTGGGTCCACGCAGCCAAGGCTGCTAAGCTGGCATGAGAGTCAGCTCTTACAGGCCTCTGCATAGAGCCAGAGGAGATGCCCTGTGACCCAGGAATGGGCAGGCAAAGACACAGGTGAAGTGGAGGGTGAGCAGAGATATTCCTCCTGAGTATACAGGCCAAGGACTGATGGCCCAGATGATGTGTGGCAGTGATCAGGGGGCACAGGGACTTTCTCCGATGCCCAGGACAGTGGGAGGACCCTCTCCAGAAAGCCTGGAACAAGGGAGGAGACCTACCGCATGATTCCCAGAGGGTCCAGTGCTACCTCCTCCTCCTCCTCCTCCTCCTCTTCCTTCTCCTCTTCCAAGGGCTTCCCGGCATCCTTGCCCTGCAGGCCCGGGATCGGCAGACCCTCTCCGGCCACTCCATCCTGCTGCCTGAAGAAATCGAAAGCATCCCCGTCGTCCCCTTCCTGGCTGTCTGCATCCAAGACAGAGACATCTCTGCTGGAGAGATCCACAGCCCCTGGGGACCTAGTGCCTAGGGAGGAAGAAAGAATAGAGGGGACTTGATGGGACGGAGATGTTCCTGTACAAAAGAGTATCTGGGGCTGAGTACAGCATCCTGGGATGAAGCTTGGTCACAGGCCAGGATAGCAGGTTGGGTGGGTGGAAGGTGACAACCATTGCCAGTGGAGCAGCCCCAGAGAGTTGATGGGCACCAGAGGAGCCAAGAGCAGAGTGGTTACACAAAGGAGTTTAGAGTAAGACAAAGGTTCCTGAACTATCAAGGCTTGGATCTGGTTTGTAAGGCAGGATGGCAAAAGCTACCTCCATAGGACTGATGGGGAACAAACCAGACCATGTAGAGGGTGATGCAAATAGAAGCAACACTTCCAGAAACAATATGCACGATGGATGGGCATGTCAAAGAGCTCTGCCAATCCAACCATGGAAGGGGATCTGCTCTGAGGGTCTGGGCAATTAGACTGTAGACCTGATGAGGCTGAAGAGTGAGTATATGGAAGATACCAGAAGTAACTGTGATTGCTCCATGACAAACTAGCTTAGATCAGCATTTTTCAAAGTGTGGCCCACAGGTGGCATCCACAATAAAGTTAGTACAGAAAGGGAGAGCAAACATAGACACTCAGGGCAGCCGTCAGACAACATCCACCCATGTGATACATCTACCAAAGCATCAGACCGTGACAGACTGAGAATGAAGAAGCCAGTGCTTGGGGGGAAAGTCTGAGAAGCATGAGATTAGAAGAGTTGCTCATCTACATCCAAATAGTTACTGAGTAATATACAGAGAAACCTGTGAGAGCCGGAACTGCACAAAACCGCCTTGTTTTTTCAGGTCTTGCTAGTTCTCTACCTTTGACATTGTGCAGTCTTACTACTTTGCTATCACTTGTTTTAGTGGAAAATATTTTAGTTTTCCTTCTCTAGTAGGATTCCTCCTTACACAGGCTCCAGCTTTCACAGGTTTTACTGAATCTCTGAAAGCATTCACTTTTTAAAACTCAGTCTTAGAAGTCCCTGGGTGGTGCGAAATAGTTAACATACTCGCTGCTAACTAAAAGGCTAAAGATCTGAGTCCACCCACAGGCCCCTCAGAAGAAAGGCCTGGCAATCTACTTCCAGAAAATCATAGGCTTAAAATAACCCAATGGAGGAAAGTTCTACTGCGACACACATGGGTCACCATGAGTCTTGGTTAATGGGACGACAAATGGTGGTGGTAAAACACAGCATCCGGTCTGTTCTAAGGGCTTTACACTGATTCGCTCATTTCTCACAACTCCTCCCATCAGGCAGGTACGTTTCCTCCATCTTACAGATGAGAAAACTAAAAAGAGAGGAGTCTGGGACACGGACTAAACAGGCTCACGGCCTTTCCTGTGGCAGGGAAGACTGAATGAACACAGGCTGCACCTCTGCCCAGAGTCACCTCCTACCCTCCTACCCTCCCTGAGGGGACACAGACCATCTGGGTTTGAGGTGTCCCTAGGGGCCAGGTCACCTGCCTGGCTGTGAGAGCTCACCTTTGTGTAGACATTGTATATGGGTGGAGGGAGGGAGGACGAAGAGGAAAGCAGGGAGAGAAGAGCTCTGAGGATGGGGCTGGCCACAAGGGGTGTAGGTGGGGTCGATGAAGAATACCCTCTGTGAGAGCCCCATCTCGCACCCAGGCAAGTTAGCTCCTCAAGCGCCCAAGTCTCCTCTGCCCACCACCCTAGCCCAAATATGTCAGTAAGTCCAGCCTGTCTCAGCAGCCTGGCCTGAGGCTTCTAGGCTGCAGAGGGCACCACAGACCTTCTCCCACTGAGCCAGGACAGCAAGGCCTGGTCTGTGCCAGGGGAGACCATGGGGACTTGGGACAAAGTGGTGGGTACCTAAGAATTCTAGCAGCTCTGGGCTGCTTGCCAACTCAGCATCCTTGGAGATAGAGCGCAGAATCTCATTGAACGTGGCTCTCCTTTCCTGGATGTCAGACTCCCCAACAAACAGGACTTTCCTGGGCAGCGGGGGGAGGCTGGTCGTGGAGTAACGACTGCTCAGTTTCTGGTAAAACTCCTCAATCTCGCTGTACTTTTTAGAGACCTGGAATGAGAGGGGCGGGTGATTTCCTAAGTGAAGAGTAAAAGGGAGAATGTTCCTCTCTCAACCAAGCAGAGGGCCCAAACCAAAACAAAACAAAAAAACAAACCCCCTGCTTTGAGTCAATTCTGACTCATGGTGACCCAATGGTTACACAGTAGCACTGCTCCATAGGGTTCCTTGGCTGCAATCCTTACAGGGAGTCCCAGGTAGCACAAATGGTGAAGTGCTTGGCTACTAACTGAAAAGTTGACGGCTCCACTCCATCCAGGGGCACCTCAGAAGAAATTACTGATGATCTATTTCTGAAAGATCATCCAACCAAAAACCAAATCCACTGCTATCAAGTTGACTGTGACTTAGCAACCCTATAGGACAGAATGGAACTGCCCTGACCCATAGGGTTTCCAAGGCTATAAATCTTTATGGAAGCAGACTGCCTCATCTTTCTCCCCAGGAGAGTATGGTAGGTTCAACCTGCCAACCTTTTAGTTAGCAGCTGAATGCTTTAGCCACTGTACCACGAGACCTCCTTCCTTAAAGATCATACAAAAAGAAAAAACTCACTGCCGTAGAGTTGGATCCAACTCACAGCAACCCTCCTGGGTTTCCAAGGCAGTATTATTATGGAAATAGATTGCCCAATCTTCCTTCTGAGGTGTGGCTGGTAGGTTTGAACCACCACCAGCCTTCTGGTTAGTAGTTAAATTCCTTAGGCACTACCCCACCAGAGCTCCTAGCCACTGATAATTCTATGGAGTGTGGTTCTACTCTGAAACATGGGGTTGCTGTGAGTCAGAACTACTCCATGGCAACTAGTTGGGTGTTTTTCTTAATCTTTATGGAAGCAGACTGCCAGGCCTTTCTTCTGCAGTGCTGCTGGGTGGGTTCAAACTGCCAAACTTTGGATTAGCAGCTGAGCAGAAACCATTTGCTCCATTCAGAGGCTCCAAGAGGGTCAGGCTACTTGGAAAGTCCTCCCCAAGGACCAGCCTGCCACAGGAAGGGCCAGGTGAAGGGGCAGGCTGGCCCTCCTTATCTTCCACCATCTCCCTCTCTCAGGTTCCATTCTCTTAGCCCTCCTAGTCAATGGAAGACTCAATTTTAAGAGTCTTAGTGGCCTAAAGGAAAGATGCAATAATGGTGAGATTCTAGGCACCATGACAGGACCTGGTAAAGACATTAGATGCAAGGACTCCTGCCTGGCCTGGCCTACAGGTGACCACTGCTGCTACCTCCATTCCAGACTTTCAGGGCATTAGCAGGGTGACTGCAGTCTAGCAGGCTATTAAGTCATCTTCCTGCAACAAAATGAATCACCTGTTCTTAGCACAAATCTCTTGCTTACTCACCCATGAACTAAGACAACCTCTGGATGGGCTCCTCTTACAAGTGCTTATAAGTGGTGAAGAGCTAGGTATTGCCAAAGTTGGTCTCTGCCCCGCAGTGAACCAGGACAATTAGGAAAGACTTCTGTACACTGGGACCACAGTGAAGCAGGACAGGGTTCCTGCGGGCTGTTAGAGGGTGATGCTGGGCCATTAGAAGGTGGTCCTGGGTGCTAGCCGACCTCACCTCCTCCTCTGCCTCCCCACCACACCCACAGCAGTGCAGGGTTCACTCATTCACTTATAAAGCTCTTCTTGAGCATATACTCTGTAGGGGGACAACCCCCTGACATGGTCTGTGCCTCCAAAGACTCCTGGTCTCATGGGGGAGACCAGAGAGGGTGAGTAGTCACAGTATGGAGGGCTCAGCATCAATGCTGAGGTCTGTGCAACCTAATGTGGGTGCTCAGAGTACAGTCATCTGCTTTACCTACATGGTCCACCACCAGCCCAACATCCACTCTTCTGAACTCCTCTGTGCTCTTCCCATGTGTTGGACCTGTCTCTCCAATTACTTGAGGCTACTAAGGGTAAGCACATGTATTATTCATGTTTATGCTCCTAGGACAGGGCCATGCCCTCAGCTACCACTGCAAATGCTGTTGAGTGGCTGACTGACTTCAGGGGATCTGATGCATTCAAATTCAGGGAACCTGGCACCTCCTATGCACAGGGTGTTTGAAGTCCGCATTACTGACTAACCAAGATGATCATCCAGAACCCCAGCCCATGAGGGTGCTAGATACTGGGAGGTGGTTCACAGGACAGTGCTTCAGAGCCCCCCAAAATGGAGAGTCACTGGGGAAAAACGCTGCTGCCTGAAGTTGTCAACACCAAGCACGAGAGCCTGGCTCCAGAGCTTTCCTGAGAACAGCCTTCAAGAAAAGAAAGTCAAGCGAATTCTTTCACAAAATTGAGTAACGCAGGGTACACTCTGAGGCAGACCTAAGGAACCAGAGGCTGTTGTTGTTGTTGTTATTTGCCGTCGAGTCGGCCCCGACTCATAGCGACTCCTCCTAGGGTTTCCGAGGCAGTATCACTATGGAAGTAGGATTGCCCAACCTTCCTTTTGAGGAGTGGCTGTAGGCAGAGCACAATTCAGAAAACCTGGTCCAGGCAAGCTGGTCACTGTGGGGGCTGGGCGCCCTCTGCTGGCCTGAGTGTCCCACTCAGGCCTGGCCTACCAACCCACTGGAACTGGTGTTCTGGGAGCCTCAGGTCTCCAGGGCACTGGCAATGTGAGGCGCCAAGGAGCTGTAAGTCTGGAGTCCCCACATGCACATCCCCCCATGCACAGCCCACATTTGTCAGTGTTCCAAAGAAAGTGTTTTCTCAGATAGATAACCTAAACTAGCAATGATGGGAGGTCAAGGGAAAGGCATTTGGAGCACAGAGCAGAGGGTGGGGACTAGCATTTATCTGGTCAACCTCCTGTGCATTAGCACTGGACAGAATGCTGAGCATACAGTGATGCTACCCTCCATCCTTCTAATTAAGCGTGTATGCCTCATCGCAAGCACATGTGCGGTGTCTGCAAATCCTCAAGCACATACTCATGTTCCTTCTGGGAGGCTGGTTTTATACCATGGTTAGCAATTAAACACAGTTTTATATTAAAATGCTTTTGTCTTTTAAAGGAGTAGAATGTCAAATGCTTATTAAGTTTTTTAGCTAACTCATAAAACTTCAAATAGGTTTCATCCTTGGGATATGTACTTTTGAGCTACACCCCAAGATTCCATACAGAGGACATGACAGTTCTCCTTGGCTCTTGCAGGTACTTCATAATGTTTGAGCAGCACCTGCACATACACACTGCACACATATTCCTGCACATACAGGGCACTGTATGATGTGTGAAGGTGTGAAAACTGGCCCCATTTATACCCTTGCACATAGTGCTGACCCTTTGCACAGGAAAAGAGTGGGCTGGCTGGGCAGTCCTCAAGGGCTCCCTGAATACTGTATCTCTGTCACACCCAGAGGCATCAATCCCAAATATATTTGTCTGCTGCTCTCATTCCTAAAAATGTGGGTGCATTAAGCTCCATCCTGGATTAAGTAATATTACCTGGCAACTAAAAACTACCCTGCAGAGCAAAGCCCCTTCTGGAGCAATGCAAACACAGAACCACCACCTGACAGACATGACACCTGGCTCTCAGAAGCAGCATGATGCTCAAATGAAAAACATTGCAGCTATTGATACTATTTTAGACATTTCTCATGACAGACTTGTGCCATAAATTCTTTCTGGAACTTGGTGTGTCTTTAACAGGTAATGAGAGCTATGTTACCCATTGTTCACGTTTATCCTGGCTGCCATAAAATCCAGAACCAACCTGTGTGCAAACCTGCAGCTATGACCTGGCACAACTGTTGCTCCCTCTTGACTGCATGACCCTTGCTTAGTTTATCTTTAGTCTACTAAACCTGTGGCCTCTCTTGGTCACAGGCTCTGGGCTTTTTCACAAGGACCCAAAGGGTAGACAAAAAGCAAATAAATGCATCTGTGATCACATCTCTTCTTGAAACTCTCTTCTCCCTTTGCTTCTGTGATTGCAGTCTCCCACCTCTCTTCCCTCCACCTCATCTGTAACGTCCTCTTCTTTGACTGTCACTGAGCTGTTGATGTTCCCCAGAATCCCCTCCTCAGCCCTTTGTTCTGCCCTCCATCTGTGTTTTCTGGGCTACTCCACCCAGGTTGTTGTTGTTTGTTGTTATGTGCCGTCAAGTCAGACCCAACTCACAGTTCGACCCTTCCTTGGGTTTCCAAGGCAGTATCACTACGGAAGTAGATTGCCAACCTTCCAAATCTGCCTTTTAGGCCCAATTCCTCTCCCAAGCTCATGTATCCTTTCACTGGGGAGACACATCACACTCAATGCATTCCCCTTCAATCTGCCCTCCACCAGTGCTCTTTATTTCAGTTGGAGATAAGTCAGCAAAATATGTGGATATTATTAGCAGCTGTCAAGTTGGCCACCAACTCGTGGTGAATCCATGTATAATGGAATTGTACCAGTGTGACCCCCAGAATTCTCTCACTGGCCAATATTTTGAAAGCAGATGCTTGAACAATATCTCTCAGAAAGATCAGCACAAGGCTGGTGCCAATGAGGCGGAGGTTAAAGATGACCCAAATGTCCAAACTTCTGTGCCACTCCATCATTGCAGACATCAACTCCTCTTCCTCCCAGTAATTTCCCCCATCTTAGGGTTCTGTATCTCCCTGTAATGCCTCACAGAATTCACAGACACCCAAGGGTTTGTCTCACGTAGTAGTGGTGGAGGCTGGCAGGCTGGCGAGTCCCAGGTCCATGAGTGGGTCTGGAGGAGTCTCCCAATTCTCAGGGTTTGATGAACTTTGATCACATCAGAAGATGGCTGCTGTCCCAAATCCAGGGGTGAGATGAGGATGAGCCAAAACACAGAACCGGAGCAAGAGGAGGGTGAACCTTCCCAGGAGATTCGCAGGAAGCTAAGGGTGGTGATTTGAATTATACCCCCCACCAAGGCAGGATTCAAGATACATTCCACCTGTGTTGCTCCAACAGCAATAACCTCAGTGGATGGCTTTAACAATCAGCAGCTCAAGGCAAATCCCACCACAGAGCCGATTGCCAGTCATTACAAGGAACGACTGCTACCAGCTGCCCAGCCAAGTTGACACTCGACCTTAACTACCACACCACCCCAAACAGTCATTGATAATAGGATTTACAATACATCACAGAATGGAGGGCAATGGCTAGAAGGGCCACATCAAGCAATTCGCCACAGTAGATCACCAAGACTTTCTTCCTAGTCCATCTTAGTCTAGAATTTCCACTAAAACCTGTCTGACATCATAGCAACACATAAGCCCCCACTGACAGATGGGTGGTTGTAGTACAGGGAATTACTTAATAGGGCTCTTCTAGCCATAGTCCTTATGACTCTCATTGCCGTCAAGTCAGATGGGACTCATAGCAACCCCTCCTTGGGTTTCCGAGGCAGTATCACTATGGAAGTATAGATTTCTCAACTTCCTTCCAAGGAGTGGCTGGTGGATTTGAACCACCAGCCTTCTGGTTAGCAGTCAGATGCCTTAGGCACTACGCTACCAGAGCACCAGAGCTCCTTATAACTCCCACCAAATGACTGGGTGAGACTATACAAATAAGGTATATGGAACTCTAACAAAGGGATTGGTCATTTTTTCCATATTGCTAGGCTTAAAAGATAACCAATCCCAGAGCAGAAGGGGAACCTCATGACCACGAACAAGAAAAGGCAGGAGTAGATCACATTCTTTGGATCCAGGCTGATAGCCTCTAGACTGAGACACAGAGAGCTGTAACGCCAGAGACTGACAGTGCTGTGGGCTTCCTGGCCCATGGAGTGAGAGAGCTGAGCATCTTCCGGCAGAGGGCTGGCTGGCAGAGTAGGGTCACTCTGGGCACTTGTCAGAGGAGCCAGACTTGCCCACCCATGGAGCAAGAGAACTGAGAGCCTCTGGGCCAAGACTTACTGGCCGAGTGGGGTGCCTTCAGGCACTTACTGGCGGAGCTAAAAGAGCTTTGTAACACTTGTGCAAGCAGGGCCCAGAGGCAAAGGGCAAGAAGACGCTGTCCTGATTAACAAGTGGATCCTGAGTTGTTCCTGATTCTAAACTGTACAACCTGTTACTTTCTTAATGAAGCCTATAATCGTGATTATTGTCTGTGAGTTCTGTGTGGCCACTGCAATGAATTATTGAATCCAGCAGAGAAACAGAGAATGCTGTGAGAGGGATGGCCTTGTTTCATACTTGGTACAAAGGTTGGAGGGTGGTAGCATGTCTGACCTTTGTCTCATAGGAATCAGCCTTGGGCTATTGATCTTGACTCTCCCTCCCGCTTGTGAAGTTAGAGGTCAGACACCACCACTACAGCATTTTCACAGTGGTGGCTGGGTGTGAGGTGCATTGGCAGGGGCTCAAACTCTCAAACTCTCCCACCAGCCCAGCCTATGAAAGGTAAACATGACCATGTCACTCTCCTACTTATGACTCCTCCTCAGCTGCAAGTCAGGCTCCCTGCTCAGCTCTCCATGACCTGGATCCTGCCCATCATCCACCCTCATCTTCTCCCTCGCATCCTAGGATGATACTCAACTGTTCACAGCTCCCCACACAACCATTGCTTCAGGCCCCTGAGGCTTTGCTTAGGCTGTGCCCTCTGCCTAGAACACTCTCCTCCCCCTTCTTCTGCTTAGTTCCCATTTGCTCTCTATTTTAAAACAATGTCTTAGTGTGTTTTTGGTGAAAGTTTACACAGCAAATTAGGTTCCCATTTGACAATTGGTACACAAATTTTTCAGCAACATTAGCTACATGTTTTGCAACGTGTCAACATTCTCTTTAAATGTGTCCGATTGTTCTGTTTCCAGTACTCTAGTTTCCCTGTCTCCTTATCTTCTCATCTTTGCTTTAGAGTCATTGTTGACCTATTGGTCTCATTATCCTTTATTTTGTGTGCCAATCTGTTAATTCACTCAAAGGTGACCTCAGGGGAGAGTTTCAGTTCAAGGTTTAAAGAGGATCTCAGGGTGACAGTCTCAGGGAGTCCTCTGAAAGTTCCCGCTTGTCCAGTAAGTCTGAACTTTTTAAAAATCTGAGTTCTATTCCATGTTTTTCTCCAGTTCTATCAGGGTCCATCTATTGTGACCCTGATCAGAATGGTTAGTAGTGGTACCTGGGCACCATCTAGTTCTTTTAGACTCAGGGTAGATGGTTTGTGTAGCCCATCTGCTCTTTAAGCTATAGCTCACCTTTCTTCCCAGAAGTCTCCTGGAACCTCTTTCCCCAGGGTGACTGAGGTGCCCCTTTCCTATGTGTCCATAGCCCTCCACCCCACTGTGTGCTCCTGTCACCATCTGTGTCTACCTTTACAAGTCTGTCTCCCCATGGACTATAAGCATCTGTGCTTGATTCAGTCACAGACCTTTAGTGAGTGCCCGCTCACTGCTTCTACTGGCACCCTGGTGGGTGGATGTGTCTCAGTGGATCCCCAGAGACCCCCTCCCCAGATCCTGGCCAGAGTCCCTAGCTCACCAAGAACTGCACGACGTCCTCAGGCCTGTGCTTGGCTGACTTGAATGCAGCCAACCGGGTTACCACCAGGATCTGGTACTCCACATGGCCTGACATCATCTTGCCCCGCACCTCCTGGTGCTGGGGCACACTCAGGTCCAGGCCTGTATGGGCATTCTGAATTTGCCTGCCAAAGGGAAAAGAAAGCAAAGGAAGTTCAGGTTCAAACCAACAGGTTTCTCAATGGAGCTGCAGGCAGGGCCTGGGTCCGGCCCAGCAGGCCTGGATAAGAGGCTGCTCTGATGGTAGTCCTCAGTGGTTCTCATTCCAGAGCATTAAAAAGAAATGAGGAATGAGTTAGGCTCATTATGGAAAAGAAGCACAGGTAGAAACTGTGGGTGGAAGTAAAAGGGTGGGAGGGGGGGGTTCTTAGCAGTGGAACTGTTGAGTGTAAAGCACACAGAGGGCTGCACCTCCTACGGGTGCAGCTTGCTTCTCCAGCGCTTCATCTCTGACAGTTCTTTGGCTGCATCAGGACTTATAACCAGGTCTACCACTTGTCCACCATCCCACCCATCACACCAGGCCTCAACCAGCTTAGATTCCACATCCCATTGCTAGGATGACTATGTAAGACCTCAGCATTCCTGACTTCTTCTTGAGTGCAGGACTAGTCTGGGAAAAGCCCAAGACTCCAGTTCTCGGCCTTCTTTGCACCTGTGGCCAAGCACATGAACACAACTGGAGATCAACACACCCCATGATGCCTGGTGGTCCTACTTTAAGTTCATGACCACAAACTTCCAGCTGGTAGCACAAGCCTGGGAGCCACACTACATTGCCCTAGACTAAACAAAACCCACTGCCCTCAAGTAGATTCCAACTCACAGTGACCCCCATTAGGTTTCCAAGGCAGTAAATCTGTATGGAAGTAGACTGCCCAGTCTTGCTTCCATGGAGTGGCTGGTGGGTTTGACCTACCAATTTCCTGGTTAGCAGTCAGATGTCTTAGGCACTATGCTACAAGAGCTACTTAGAGAGGCAAACGCAAGGTACTAAATCAGAAGCCCAGGGGGTGGGCCTAGCAAGGTATTTAGCAAACCCTCCAGAAGGTTCTGATGCACCTGGGCCTAATCCACTCACTCTCTCACTCTCCTAGATCCCAAGGAAAACTTCTGCAGTAAAGGCTCAGAGGGTCTCTGTTACAACTACTCTACTCTGCTGTCAACAGGGCTTTGAACTGGTTCACACTGTTGAGAATTTGCATTTCCACCCCAGATACACAGTATCAGAATCTACATTTTAACCAGATCCCCAGGTAATTCTTACGTATACATCACCTAGGGACCTGCACGAATCACCTGTGGATTTCATTAAACTGTAGATTCTGATTCAGTACATCTAGGGTGGAAATGGAAATTATCAGTAGGGGATCGAATTGGAATGAACAGTTCAAGGCCTAGGCTATTGAAGCTGAAATCAGCAAATAGAGTGTGTTCTCATAAAACTTTATTTACTAAACATGGTGCAGGATAAATTTTCCTGCCCTTGCCCTAAACCAACTTCTCAAACAGGAACGTGCATACAAGTCCCCTGTGGATCTTATTTATTCAGATTCACTGAGTCTGGAGAGTCCACATCTCTAAGATGCTCCCAGGTGGTACTGATGCTGCTCCATGGTGCTCCAGGGGACCACTTGCTGAGCAGCAAGCCATGGAGTCAATTTTGCACCATCACCTCTCTCAAAAAAAACTCACTGCCGTCGAGTAGATTTGACTCAAAGTGACCCCTCCTTGGGTTTCCAAGGTGGTATGTCTACAGAAGTAGATTGCCCAATCTTCCTTCAGAGGAGTGGCTGGTGGGTTTGAACCACTAGCCTTCTGGTTAAGAGTCAAATGCCTTAGGCACCATGCCACCCCCAAATCTGCTTTCCCCTTCTCACCCTCAGCTCATGGTGCTGCTTCCTATTCACTGAGAAAATGTCAAAAGAACTTGCAAGGGCTTCATATCACACCCACCATCTGCCTGAATCTGCTCCCTGGATACCACCTCTCCTCCTGTTACCCAGACGGCTCCTGTTTAAGGCCAACCCTTCACTGAGGTAGAGATATCAATCCCTTTCACCAACTTGAGGACACTGCATTTATAATTACTCCCTTTTCTCTTCTGCATCATCAATCCCCTTTCTCCTTATTGGATCATTCTTAGTATCATCCAATCATGCTCTTATTTCTTTTAACACTGACCTCTGACCTGACATCTCCTTACTGCTGCTCCTTTTCTCTCTTCTTCTTTACAGCAAAACTCCTCAAAAGAGTTGCCAATATGCACTGTCTCCAGTTCTCTCTCTGATTTGATCTTAAGCTTATTTTACCTGACTTAGCAACAACACTTGACACAGTCACATTCTATTCCTGGAAGCACTGTCTTTACTGTCATCCAGGACATCCCACTCTTTCTTGGTTTTTCTCTCCCTCTCTCCCCATCGCTCAGCTTCTCTGATTTTCCCTTCTAGTTCTGCCCAGAGCTCCATCCTTAGCCCTTTCCTCTGGCTGGACCCTCTCCCCAGGTGTTCTCACCCAGCTTCAAGGCTTTAAATCCCATCTCTGGGCTAATGACTCCCAAGTTCAGATCTCTAGTTCAAACCTCCCCTCAATGCCAGGCTCATTCTTCCAGCTGCCAACCTGACATCTCCACGTGAGCACCAACAAGCTTCTTAAAATCAACTTGTCTACACAAATCTTGACACCCAACTTTACCCGAAACCTGGCTCCTGTCATAATCTCCCTATCTCAGTAAACTGCAACTTGGCTCTTTCAGTAACAGGACAAAATCTTGTGGTCAGTCTTGACTCCTCTTTCTTTTTCTCGCATCACATATGTAATCCCAGTAAACCCTGAAAGTTCTATCTTCAAAATATATCCAGAACAACTTAACAACAAAAAGATAAATAAGCCAACATAAGATGTGCAAATGACATGAATAGACATTTTACCAAAGAGAATATTCAAAGGCCATCAAATATATGAAAAGGGGCGCAGTGTTACTATTCATCAGAGAGATGCAAATCAAAACCACAATGAGATACCACTTTACTTCCACTAGGATGGCTAAGATTTTTTAAAAAGAACAGAAAATAACAAATGTTGGCAAGGATGTGGGGAAATTAGAACCCTTATCCATTGCTGGTGGGAATGCAAAATGGTATGGCTGTGTGAAAAACAACATGGCAGTACTCAGAAAATTAAAATTAGAACTACCATATGACCCAGCAATTCCACTCCCAGGTATAAACTCCAAAGACATGGAAGGAAAGACTCAAAAAGAATCTTGTATACCAATGTTCATTGTAGCACTATTCAAGATATCCCCAAGTTGGAAACAATCTAACTGTCCATCAACAGATGAATGGATAAACAAAATGTAGTACATACAGTGAAACAGTACTTAGCCAGCAGAAGAAATGAAGTCTTGATACATGCTACAGTATGGATGGAAATTGAAGTCATTATAGTGGGTGAAATAAACTGCCAATCACAAAAGGACAAATGCTGTATGATCTTACTTATATAAAAAGACAGGGAAAGACAAATGTATAGAGACTAAAGTTTATTAGTAGTAACCAGGGGTAAGAGAGAAGGGGAAAAAGGGGGCTAGCAGTGATGGAAAAATAGCATTGATTAAGGGTAGCATTGTACAGTTGATCATTGTAATTGCTGTCAATAAGTTGTACCCCTGTAAAAAGTTGAATTGGCAACAGTTGTCTGAAAGAGATGTTAACAACAGTGACAAAAAAAATAGCTGCTAAGGCTGCTTATATATAACCTGATGGGATTTGGTTTCTTGGTTTGGAGGTTTAGGGTCATGGTTTCATGGGATATCCTAATTAAATGGCCTAATAACATGTTTAGTGCTTCTGTTCTACCTCCTACTTCTTGTATAGTGCCTGGGGTCTTAAAAGCTTCCAAGTGGACACCTCAAAAAACTAAACTCACTGCTATCAAGTTGGATCCGACACACAGCGACCCCTCCTTGGGTTTCTGAGGTGGTATCACTATGGAAGTAGATTGTCCCATCTTCCTGCCGAGGAATGGGTGGTGGACTTGAACTGCCAGCCTTCTGGTTAGCAGTCAAATGCCTTAGGCACTATGCTACCAGAGCTCCTTAGTGGACATCTAAGATACAACAATTGGTCTCCATTCACCTGAAGCAACAGAGAAAGGAGAGTTAGGAATGTTGTTGTTGTTGTTAAGTGCCGTTGAGTCGTTTCCGACTCATAGCGACCCCATGCACAGCAGAACGAAACACTGCCCGATCCCGCGCCAGCCCCACAATCCCTGTTATACTTGAGCCCA